TAGACAGAGCCTGCTTCCATCCAGTAAATAGACAGAGCCTGCTTCCATCCAGTAAATAGACAGGCTCACTATATTAAAAAAACAAACATCCTGTGCCCACTTTAACTGTTCGCAGAATTAGACGGCCTCTTTCGCAGTTATTTGCAGAAAATGTTTGTTTAGAAAATAAATCTTTAAAACAGTTCTAATAAGAAAAAAAGTTTCAATTTGTTTCATCTAAATAATAAATATTCATAATATTAATAATAAAATCAAAACGGACTTGATGAAACTTCATATCTCCTGTGAGTCAAAGACGTGACGTGATCTGTTAGCTCTCGGAGTCTGTGCTAGAAATGACTCTCAGCTACTACCACAAAGTATTTCAGCTCAGTATCTGTGAACTTTGAGTTTTCTTAGAGTTTGGGTGACCAACTGTGGCGGCCATCTTGAATCAGGTTAACTCCCAAAGTGAACCAGTTGTCGATGCAGCCAGTCATTACTTCCTGAAAGTTCTTTTGTTCACGAGATATTTTACTAACAGACATTTTCTACATTTCAAGTCACTGAAGGGTTCCTGGGAAGAAATGTTTGCAAAATTTAAACAAGTGAACGCACATATCGTCCTTTAACTTTATTAGTGTTCCTTGGTGGAATAAACCACCATCTCATTAAATTATTTAAAAAACTATAATTAATATATTTCGTCCCATAAACAAGTCAATATTTATATAAATATCTTAGCCTAAAATAAAAATATCAAATTTAAAACTTGTTTTTACATTTTAAGTCTTTAAAGGCTTTTTGTTTAAAAACCTCCACATTTGAGTTGAGGGCCTTTTCTGTTAGTTCCCTAATGGAACCTCTGACTTTGCAATGAATGAATGAATGAATGAATGAATGAATGAATGATTGAATGAATGATTGAATGAATGGATGGATGATTGAATGAATGAATGAATGAATGAATGAATGATTGAATGAATGAATGAATGAATGATTGAATGAATGATTGAATGAATGAATGAATGAATGAATGATTGAATGACTGAATGAATGAATGAATGATTGAATGAATGAATGAATGATTGAATGAATGAATGAATGAATGATTGAATGAATGATTGAATGAATGAATGAATGAATGAATGAATGAATGATTGAATGAATGAATGATTGAATGAATGAATGATTGAATGAATGAATGAATGATTGAATGAATGAATGAATGAATGAATGAATGATTTAATGAATGAATGATTGAATGAATGAATGAATGATTGAATGAATGAATGAATGAATGAATGAATTATTGAATGAATGAATGAATGAATGAATGATTGAATGAATGATTGAATGAATGATTGAATTATTGAATGAATGAATGAATGATTGAATGAATGAATGAATGAATGATTGAATGAATGAATGAATGAATGAATGAATGTATGAATGAATGAATGATTGAATGAATGAATGAATGAATGAATGAATGAATGAATGATTGAATGA